ATCTATGATCTTAACGAGAAATAGTTAACCCTCCTTCTTAATAAGATTGATCATGGATAGGTAATAACTATAATTTATTCAAGGATAAGATCATTTCAATCTAGATGATCAACAAATTGTTAACCAATAAGAGACGAATTATTAAAAACAATAAAAAAAAAACAAATGAGATTCTTCAACAGTTCTCATTTGACCAAATATTATCCGAAATAAAATCTTCTATTGTAACAAAAGGCAAACTTTTTCATTATTTATTGAATTAATGTTAATAAATAAGTTAGAAACTGTTCCTATGTCACAATCAGTATCGAGAAGATTTTATGAAAAAAAAATCATTTATTAAAAGTTAATTCAGCTAAAATGAAATAAGTAAAGTAACCAGTTGATTCTAGTAGATTATACTATAAAATTAATTTAGTTATTCTTGATTATATTTTATGAAAATGATTTTCTATAATAAAAGTAAGTAGAGATAGAATTGATTATTATTTTTCACTATATCTTTGGTTAAAAAATGAAAATGAAAAACTCTTTCGCTTTATGTGTTCATTATGATTTTTGTTGTAACACAATGATAATGATTTAATAAAACGAGTTTATTGATTATTTCCACTGATAATAAAATAAATATTCTAGTCTTCGATTTTAAATAATTGATCTAATTGATTTCATTGATAAGATTTATTTCTGCATTAGATTCATTATAGAATTTAAACAAAGAAAATAAATGATAAATTTTTATCACTATAAAATAATAGATAACATTTAACAAATTAGTGTCAACTCTTTTTCTTGAATATCTTAAATAGATCAACCTTATATTAAAAAAGAAGAGAATCGATAGAAAATTTTGAAAATAATTCATAGTAACGAATCTAGTAAAAGAATAATCACTCTTTAAACCTATTCGGAGATAATTCGAGGATAATATTCTCTATCGATTGCAGTGAAACGTGCTTGATTTATATTAAAATATATTTAAATCTTGTTTACTTTTTATCTTTACTAATTCTACCGATAGAATCTAAAACAAAAAAAAAGAAATCTTTTCAATAAAATCTCACGTTTTTCTAAACTTATTTTCTTAGATTGTAATAAATTAAATATCACTTTCGAATTTCTATAATAAAATAATTCTTTCATATATTTGATTTCAACTCGAATAAAACTCTAAACAAGTTCAATGGATTTGTCTAGTTAATTCTATTTGAATTGGTCGACATTGGATTATGTTACCATAAAAGAGTAATGCTAAGTAGTAGGTGCAGTCCACTATCGAAAAAAAATCTTAGACTGACGGTCGACTATTTCCTTTCGTTGTTTATTCAATAAATAATAAAGATTTACTCTTTGTTTATTATTCGTTCTTTATAAAATAAATCTCTGCTGTTGCTTTTCCTTCAGTGTAAATAGAGAAAAAATAAGCAAACGATAATGATTCAGCAGAATGAAATTAATCATAAACATTAACCGAACAATGGCTCATATTATTGAACAATTCATTAAATTTAAACAAATAAATAAAGTTGTTCAAGGATATAAACTTTAACGAATATTTTCGATTGAGCAAAATATCATTTTTCTTTTCAAGATCAACTTTAATAAATTCCTTTCTACTGATAGATTTATTTATGGAATTCTCTATCTCTTCAACAATAAGTGTAAATCAAAATTCTATTTATAGAGAAACTGATCAGAGGATATATAAAAACTATATGTTTATATCACTTTCGAGAAATCTATTCGACGATTTATTCCTATCGTATCTAACGAAATATTCTTCAATCTTTTTTTTATCTATTTATTTTAGTTCTAACAGCTTTTACTAAACATCTTTTCATGGGACTCTCAATATTTCGAGCTCGAAATAAATATTTAACTGTCTCACTCGGAGTCTTTTCAGTCCGGCATTCAACATTCCAATATGACAATGATATGTCATCAATCAGCCTCTATACTGATCGGACGCATTATTCTAATAAAGATAACCAGTATATCATATAAAACACTCGGAGATAAATAGGCATGTTACCTAGACTTAATAAAGATATCATTCTCATTTTAAAAACAAATTCTTTTATTCAACTTTCAAATAAAATTCATCTTTGTTATTTATCATCGTTATTTTCACTTTCTTTCTTTTTTAATATTATATAACAACTGATCTTTCATTTCTTTTCATCATTAAAAACGGTAAGAGTTTATTATAAAACATTTGATAAATTTAATCATTTTGATTGAACTCGAATTATTTCAAGAGAAGTAAATTATTTGTTTCTTAGTTTTAATAGAATATTTACTAGATAATCAACAAAAATCTAACCAATACATCAAGATGGAAATTAAATGATAATATATAGTATCACGCTATAAACGAGAAAGATCTACATGAAAAATTAGAATCTATTCTATAAAAATGAATATGCTCAATGAGAAAAGTTTTCCAAGATTTCTCTGAATACTGATATCAAATGTTTCATATTGTATTCTTCTAGACTAGATCAACCATGAATCGAGTCCAATCATCTAAAATCAGGCCTCTCTCACTTCTATCAAATGAAAAATCACTGGAAAGCATCACCAAAATAAAATTATTTCTTCGAAGTCTTTTTCTATTTGTGAATAAAATAGACCTCAGATATATATTCTCTAATTTATGTTGATGAGAAGGTTTACCATTAAATCAAATGACTTTAACAACCTTCTTCTAGTCAACTATTATACGAGTCAAGTCAGTTAAATATTATATTCGATTTCACCATTTAAAAAAGCAAAATCCTTTTTGATAATAATTAACGAATAATAATGTAAATCGATTGATTTTCCAATATCGTACTCCGATAAGAAGGTCATCATTTTTATACTAAATTTTTGAGAAGAATTCTTTTTTTTTCAATAGATAGAAAAGATATATGTTTATCTTCTCACATATTTGCTGCATCATTTTCCAATCTATATTCAATAGGTTATTTAAATGGTTCTCAACAATAACGAATAAGTGATGAAAATATTGATAAAAATTTAGAATTTTAATTTGGTCTTGTTTCTAATAACATCTTATGACTTGATAACATTGATAACAACTAACTCTCATTGAACTTTTTCTTTAATCATAAAAACGTTCATCACAGAGATTGATTCATTTGGATAATCTTACTCGAATAATTACATTTGAATAAATTCTGTAAGCAAAATATTACCATTGATAAATATGAAATTTCTAATTCTCGTCTACTTAACATTTCAACTTTAATATCTGTGACTAGCTACTAAAAATATATGAATATCTGTCAAAGATTAGGAAAGATATATATTAGAATGAATCTTATTATCTTATTCACTATAATCTCACCTTTTTATATTTCAAATAATCTTAATATAGTTTTAATGGGATCCGCTTAATATACTTCGAAAACCCCTATTACAAATATTTCGTCAAAAGGATGAACTCTTCCTACTGAGCTTTGCAAAGTTACAATTTCTTCGAGTCAAAGATAAACTTTACAATTTCCACAAGATTTTTACAGGTAAGCTTAATATAAGGGAACGAATGAATTAGGCTCTTTTTAATACTATTCACACGAAAGTTGGTATCGTTAATATTCTTTCGACCGAAGAGAGGGTGATACGGAAAAAACTTAAAAGCGTTTGTGGCTCTGTGGGTTTGTCCGGGTCAAAAAAACACGAAAACACACTTCCACTCCAACAAACCACTGAATCATAGGTTTTCGACCATGGGCTGTCGACTAATCATATTTTTTCGCTCTGAATAACTGGCCAATCAGGGGTTCTCGATGTTGGGCTTTCGACCAATTAGATTTTTTCCTATTGAAATTCCAGCCAATAACGGGTTTTCGATATTGGACTTTCAGGCAATCAGACATTTTCCTATTGAAATTTCAGCCAATCAGTGGTTTTAACTTGAAGCAGTCAATGTAAAACGGTATTTGGAAATGAGGTCACAACTTTTACGGTACATGGAGAATAACGAACTATTGTTTTAATGTATTCAAACAATGGAGCGATTAGCCATGAGTGACGCCCCGCAGGAGCGCGGATGAACGACTAGTCGCTGATATTGCAAGCGCATTCCTCATACGCTCCGGAAAAGATCTACATGAAAGCTAGGTTTATTAAGAATACTGCACTAAGATTCCCTTAATTAAGAATTCCAATAAAACTGTGACTTTTCAGGTTGACAATGAGGTTGAAGAAATAAGGAATAGTTCATAACAAAGTGCGGATTCCAGACTGCCCATCGAGATTCTCTTATTATAAATCTAATTATTTTTCAAAGTAAGAGCAGTCGGAAGTTTGATAGAGTGTAAATCAAAGCGGATGATCTTAATGGAGAATAGGATTACACGTGGCAGCGGCTAGCCGCTGCACTGGAAAATTCCCTGGAAGAAAGCTTCAGGCTGTTGGGATTCATTGGATAAACGTCAACAGTGTAGATCTGATGGGTTTGAATAGGGACTAGCTGTGGCAAAGAACTGAGAAATAATTTAAATAAAGCGTGGGAATCGCTTTTCTGCACGTGTGCAATATTTGAATAGTACATTTCACGGAAAACATCACTCAAAAAACATATTCGCTGTATCCAAAGTAGATATGAATGAAATAAGAGGGAGTTTTTCTGTTGGTATGTGTTCTTGTAAATGTGGTTCTCGAAATAGATATGTATCAGAGAAAAATATAGTGTGTAGAATTGGATTCATGCAAAAAAACCATTTGAGGTCCCATCAACATTCAAATCCACGCCGACGAGTATTGCTGAAACTCAAAGCCTAGTTTTAGTCAATCCAACATTATTGGTATTTAAGTCTAGTCTCATTATATTTTATTCTGACTAATTATTCAATTATTCGCATATTTTTTCAGGAGTTCTGACTCGTGTAATTTCTATAGTCACCATATCTCGAAGAAGCTAATATAAAAAGATATTTGTAAATGAGGTCACATCTTTTATGGTAAATGTAGAAAAATCGACTATTGTTTTAATGTATTCAAATAATGGAGCGACTAGCCGTGAGCGGCGCCGCGGAGGGACACCAACGAACGACTAGTCGCTAATATTCCAAGCGCGCTCTAGATTCGCTTCAGAAAAGATCTATGTGAAAGCTAGGTTCATCGAGAATACTGCATTAAGATTACCATAATCAGGAATTCTAATAAAATTCTGACTTTTCCACTAGACAATTGGGTTGAAGAAATAAGGAAAATTTGATAACAAAGTGCCAATTCGGGACTGCCCATCAAGAATTCTCATGTTATAAATCTAAGGGTTTTTCGAAGTAAGAACAGCCTGGAATTTGATAGGTTGTGAACCAAAGAGGATGATCTTATAGGAGAATATGATTACACGTGGCAGCGGCTAGCCGCTGCACTAGAATATTCCCTAGGAGAAGACGTCAATGGTCTAGATCTGATGGGTTTCAATAGGGACCAGAAATGACAAAAAACTAAGAACTATTTTCAAGTTAAGTATGAACAACTTAGCTCAGCGAGCATCCATTTGTGTTTCACTACTTTCTCGACAGAAGCATGCGCCATTTTTAGAACGAATTGTTACTGAAGATGAAAAATGGGTGTGTTATGTCAACGTCTGCCGTAGAAGGCAGTGGCTTGATCCTGATGAAGAAACATTACCGGATGTAAAGCCTGACTTGCATCCACAGAAGATAATGTTGTGCATTTGGTGGGATATGAGCGGTGTCATCTATTTAGAGCTGTTAGATATCAATCAAAAGATTACTACCAATGTCTACTCTCAGCAATTGCAGCGATTGAATGACGTTCTACTTCAAAAGCAACCGGCTTTGGCGAAACAAAAAGACGTCATCCTTCTCCATGACAACAGTCGACCTCATGTGGCAAAGTTGACTCAGCAAAAAATCGAACAGTTACGATGGGAAGTTTTTCCGCACCCACCGTGGTCACCTGTTCCTATCTCTTCGAAACTATCTGTGCAATAGTCACTATGAAGACTTCGATGAGCTAAAATCCGACCTAACTGCCTTTTTCGAATCAAAATCGGTTAGTTTCTACAAACGTGGAATTGAACTATTGCCAGAAAGATGGGCAAAGGTTGTCGAAAACGATGGCGATTATATTGTTGATTGATGTTCGCATATCTTTATTGAAAAATAAATTTGTTGTTGAACCAAAAAAAAACGTGCAGAACTTATGTACCAACTGGATATTAATCAAATCTAGGTGAAGTAGTCAATCATTGGATCAATAAGGAATTTAATTGTACATTACGAGCTAAATATTTAATTCTAATCGGATCACCGGGTACTGGAAAAACATCCTTTGCTAAATCGTTATCTAGTCATTATAATTATTTCAATGGAAAATGGCGATTAAATCTTTGGAAAAATTTTGCACGTTATTCTACTTTCGACAATATTGGTTGGGATCCATTCGAAGAAAAAGAATATCCAAAGAAAAAAGATATATCAACACAAGACGAACCTTTTAATGTATGTAACACATGTTTCTTTCATTATTCCTAGTTTTGATTTTAATTTCATCTAAACATCATCTCTCTCATAATTGATCTAGGCAACGGATGATATCGAAATAGTCTTAGAGATTGATTGTACACAACCAGCTATTGTATTTTCGAAACCAGGTCCAGCAGAAGAAGCACTAGTACGTCAACCAATCACATACGAAGATCGATGTGAAGCTACACTTTCGTAACAACGAGCTATCATTTACCGAATGGGTAAACACTTATTAAATGCCATCTCTGCAAAACAATTTAACGTTTCTATTTTTCTTTCGTCAATATAGGTCCAAACGAATATTTATACAAACCACAAAAGCATTATTAAAATGTACACAACTAACTATCATGCACTTTCTATGTTTTCTGTTCACTCTAGAATTTCTATGAATTCCTTCTACAAACAGTTCATCATCCTTCTAATCAAACTCATTTTCAGTTACTATTCTCACCGATTCAGTCACCCCCATCTCACTTATATTTGTATGGTTATGATATATTTTCTGTTATTGTATCATATATTTTTCTTTTGAATATAGATTACCAGATATAATCAATGGCGCTCAATCTCTTTCTTTTCTTAATTAATCGGAAACCTTCGTTTTCATATTATTCACGTTTTTCTTTCTATTCTAGATACATCGAATTCAATAAAAACATTAATTCTACATAAATCTGTACAACATAATCTCTACTGTTTACACAACACAACATCAAAGTAAGAAATATGTTAATCAAACACAAATAAAAGGTTTTTAATCAAACATGTCCCATGAACATTTTTTGCATATAAACAAACTCGAAGCTAAATTTGCGATAGCACAACATTTCCCTTCAATCTGCCCATTAGACATAGAGCATAACAAAAGCTAAAGGTAATCTACTACGCTTCAACAATGACAAAAAAAGTTTCACCATTCTTTATCCCAAACAAACAACACAATTTTCTTGACATAAAAAAACCAGTATTCGTAAAACTTGACCAGATTTGAGTTTAGTAACATCGAAATACCAACGGTATTGTGGTAAGTATTACACATCCCACACCCACATCCACCCATTTTAGATATATTGATGATATTTTCATGATTTCCAATGAATCTATTGAAAACATTAAAGCATTAATTGATCAAGAAAATGAAAAAGATTCAAATAATCATATTAATTATACAATACATGAATCGATAGAATTCCTTGATGTTCTTATCGAGAATGTTGAAGGAAAGTTGAATACAACAGTTTTTCGTAAACCAGCTGCTGAGCCATACATACTTCCATATACATCTAATCATCCACGGCTTACACATTCCAATACAATCTATACAGCATTACTTCGTGGTATTCGTCTCTATTCGGATGTTCACACATTTGATTAAGAACGATTGAATATTGAAATAGCATTACTTCTCAATGGATATCCACGAAACTTTATCCGACGTCATTTCAAAGAATTCTTTAAAAATCACAACTCTTCGCCGATCTACCAAAACTTGGATGAACAAAGATATAAAGAACTTCATCTACAATTAGTAAATGAATCTTTAACTGATGATCAACGACAACTTCCACCAAACCAACAATCGGTGACTGAACAACACAAAAATTCACACACAAAAGAGAAACCGAAGAACGAAAAAAAAATGATTATACATTATAGATATGAAAGCGGACCGTTAAAAAACTTCAGTCATCAATTCAAGAAGCTATTTAAAAAACACTTTTACTACGAAAATTCATCGTTAAAAAATGTTCGACTTATAATTGGTACTCGAACAAATAAAACCTTAGAAAATTTATTAGTTCATAAAAAATCATCTCGCAATCTCTTAAGAAATATCGATTAACAACATTGCGTTACCAACAATGAAAAAACTGAACATATGACTAAAATACTTAGTTGTGAATATTTTTCATTGTATATCTTTTCATTATATGAATAAAGCTATTCCAAAACTCAATCATCTGTCCTACAAAAAAACCATAACACAAATAAGAAAAAATCCACCTACATCCCTTTCATTTTTATTCTAGATATGTATAAAACACCAAACCACAATCGAACACTTCTAATCACCAAGCACAAAAACAAGGGAACCTGACCCATCTTAACAATAACACAACCAACCAGAAAAATCAAAACTTAACCAAGCAAACCAAAAAACATCAAATGAATATTCCAATCACCAATAAGAAAAATTGGCAAAATAGTCAGCCATACATGGTAACTCCCACTAATTTCAAAACTCTCAGTGTGACTAAACATTCACTTCTATATACGATGAAGGTCATATTTAAGCTAATTTTACTTGAAAATTATATTTGTAAACTCTACTTATGCAAATGTTCGCAAAATTTTAATTATTGCATTGAAACAGTAATTCATATGTTTCGGTTTTTCATTGAATTACTATCTAGTAGATACAATATTAAGTATTCCACCTGGCGAAGTTCCACCAAGACGGAAACAACGTTGTCGTGAACGGCGATTATTCTAATAATGCCCACACTTATACACACCCCAAATGAAAATTTTGTCCCTCATATTGTTTGTTTCCATTTCTCATGCTTTAGCAAAAAAGTCACTAGAATAAATTCAAACTGTATGAAATTTTTCACAGAATGATTGATAAATAGAGAACTGCAATGATATCATTTATCTCACTAAATGAGAAAATGTTATCCGAGAAAATATTATATAAACAATGAAAAATGCAAGTATAAAATACAAAATTCATCGTTTCAATAATTTTAAAAACCGTCATTGACAGAAAAATTTTTTAAATATGCGCATATTTTTCTTTTTTTACTGTTTCTAAAAAATAAGAAAATTTTTTTCAAGGACATACGTTATTCTTAGCGATCGTCTGACGTTACTTCATCAATGCTTATTAATTTCACTAAATTAAAACTATAGATAAAATAACAAGAAAAACTGTTTCTAGTTCTGAAACAATTACAAGGAAATAATTAAATATAAATTGTCTTTATATAACGTTCGATATTTTGTAGAAGCAGATCTAAATAGAATGCAGAAAGGCATAGGGATAGAAATTCTGGACTTGTCCCCATACCTGGGAGATATTACCGTGGAACGTCATGCGCGGTAAAAGACATATTTGGGAAGGCAAAGTCTACTATAGCATGAGTGTGACACACGAATGAGTCTATGGTATCTATGATTTACCTTTTTTAGATACTCTCTCTGACATATTACGACTAATATTTTCTATTACCAAAGTGTATTAACCAATGATAGTAATGGATAAGCCGAAACATAAGTTGATAAATTTATTCATTGACAACAAAGTGAAAGCGGCTCCATTGTGTTTGATATTCATATTATACTGGGATTGTGCTAATAATTGATTGACGATATATTCAAAGTTTTAACAGTCAGAAAAAATGACATTATTACGTGACTTATACATCCTTAGTTTCTTGCAACGTCAATTTCTTTTCATTCTTTAATGGCATGTTTCATAAAAGTCGTGCCAAAATAATTAATGATTACGTGCTTCGAAGTTAAAATGAAGGTGAATGGAAGGTTAGATAATTATGTTTTTGATGATTATAAAATCTATTTTTATCAAATATGCTTTCTTTAACAACATATAAAACATATTTGTCATAAAAGACAGTTGTTGAAAACCAGAATGTCGACATCGTTATCTTTGATAGGAAAACAAATAATAATTTATGGTGGACTACCAGTGTTTATTGCTGGAACAGTAGGCGGGCTTCTCAATACTCTTGTCTTTCTTAGTCTTCGAACATTTCGACAAAGTTCATGTGCATTTTATTTAACTATTATGTCAATTTTAAGCATAATTCAATTGTGTCTTGCGCTTCTCGCACGTGTTATAACTGCCATATCAAGTGTCGATGCAACTGAAACATCACTATTCTATTGTAAATCACGTCTCTATTTAATTAATACATGTAATGTAATTTCAATGACATGCTTTTGTTTGGCTACTATTGATCAATATTGTGCAACTTGCTCTAACCTCCATTGGCAACAATTCTGCAATATTAAACTAGCTCGACGTATAATCATTATATTTATTATCATTTGGATTCTACATGGAATTCCATATTTAGTATTTTATGATCATGTTTCATTACCAAATACAAATAAATTTATTTGCATCGTAACAAATCAGATTTTTGATCAGTATCGCGGGTTTTTCATGGTACTTGGGCTGATCGGATTTCTACCTATTACTATTGCAGCTTTATTTGGATCCATGGCCTTTCGCAATATAAAGGAAATGCCTTATCGCACAGTACCACTTGTTCGACGTGAACTAGATAAGCAGTTAACTGTCATGGTTTTAGTTCAAGTTGTTGTAGGTATTTTTGGTCTTCTACCATATACAACTGTCTTTGCTGTTGCAACGAACAAAAATCTCACCAGCGATCCAGTTATTCAAGCAAAACTTCAGTTTGCAACAACTGTCACTGTTATCATTTACTATACATATTTTGCGGTAAGTGTGAGATAGAATAAACGAATTTTTTCGTTTGATTATATTATTTTAGAGTCCATTTTATGTTTATATTTGTGTATCTGAACGTTTTCGTAAACAATTGTTCTATGTACTGTTCAATATACATCTTAATCGTTGGAGACGACGAAGGATAATTATCAATCATGTCGCACCAGAGACATAATAGAACATTATTGTACTTTGACATTGTTATTCGTATTCAACGTGTGTTTTATTATTATTGTCATATCAATCTCTTTCTTTATATAATTTATATGAAAAAATAAATTAAATAAAGCCTATTACGCATCATTAAAAAATCTCAACTATAATTAATGACTGACTTTTATAGTATATGACGAAATACGGAAGTAAATGAAAAAGATTTACTTTGTATAGTTTGATACTCTAACTAATAATTGTTTCCCTTCATTAAATACTTTTCTCTTTTAAGAAAGCCATATACATAATTATGCACGAAAAACTCAAACAAATCGTCTTTCTGCACATGAACAATACATTTTAATGCAATACTCTGCTATCAATAATGGTCGAAAATTCATTGCTGATAGATAGTAAAGTTCAATATGTGACTAAATCTTTGTTATCTTGTTAGACAATGAGTACTAAGCACATTCTTTAATATTTGTGAAAATGTGTGAATATCATTTTACTCATCCTGTATAGCTCTATTTAGAAGTAAAGATAGATGAATGACGGAACATTCACACTTTAGTAGTTGATAGTTGAGATTGAAATTTATGTGAAGTATGTCTGTGAATACTAGCTGATTTACTTGTAATAGATAGATCAGCAATTAAATGTAAACCAAACTCATTGTATCTCAAAAGAGATTTATAGAAAGATAAGGAAATTGGCAATGATATCAGAGCACTTAAAGCGCTAATATTGGCATCTGTTGGCAATAACGCTGTTAACGATCTACATGTTGTTAACAACGAGGGTTATTATATTGAATAAATACAGCACTGATCATTTCTTCTTCACGTTCAATACTAAACATATGTACGTATAGTACATATTTATCTGTCACGTGTCGTGCACGTGGCTGGTTGTAATTAGATATTTTATCTAATTGTGTTCATCGTTGTTCAAAATTATAATAAAACATCAACAAATATCTAACAATAGTTATAGAAGCCACGGTATTAGGCATGTAAACTCGTGCACAACAGCATCGGATGCGAGATTAATGAATTATGAGGATAAATTCGCCTTACTTCATCACTAACGAACTCAATACAATTATAATCGTCGTTTACACGTGTCTATTTCCAGTTTAATGAACTCACAATCAGCATTTCCATTTCAGTCTCCAATGCGTCGAAATCGAAATGATTTCGAAGCTGACGATGGATTTATGTTGGTCGAAAATAACAGAAGCAAAAGATGTAGAAATCAACATGATCAATGCGACAGCGACTTTGAAAATGACCAAGAGAATAATAATAATCGTCATTTGGATTATCCACAACAACGAACACCTTATTCAGTTTACAATCGTCCTTCCTCTCACATGAATCAACAACACTCGAGTTCTGATACTCATCATACATTTTTATCTCCTAATCATCAAAATGCACATCTTCAAAAATTAACAGTATCAAATGAATCTACTCGTTATACACAAAGTCGACCATATTCACGTTTCGTATCGCATTCTGTTTCTGGAAATGTTAAAGAAAAAGCGATTGCCAACGATGTAATAAAGCATTTCAAGGAGGTACATCAAACAAATGTTTCATTTTCTAATATTCGACCCTCCACCTTGAAATGTATTAATAACAAATATAATTATTTAGTCTGTGTGAAAGACTCCAAATCATTCTGTACTCTATTTGAAGCAAGAAATTGGCCTCAACAACTAGGCAAACAAAAATTCACGCTGCAATCTATTTCTTCGCTTCTTCTTCAACTTTCGTTTGCCATTAAAAAAGTCAACTTGCACATTATCTTCAACGACTTTATGAACGATCTTAAAGATTTATTTCCAGAAATCCACAGTATCGTTCTTTTTTGAAACAACTTCTAAAACAAAATTAAATTAATCAAAGTACAAATATTATCTATTGAAAAACGTGAAGAAATTCTAGAAAGAGGTAAAACCAATGTGAATTCTTTGACTTATGATGTTAATGAATACCTCAATCGAATCATAGTATTCATCTGTAGCAAATATCAAGCTATTGGCTACTTTCGATGTTAGTGCACTCAAGTTGAAAATACTTGCGAGGTATGTGGAGTTCGTAATCCGGATCTAAAGTAACATACTTGTTCTTTACAAATCAAGTGTGTAGACTTCAGAGGCACTCACCTTTCCAAGAGTCTCAAATGTTCAGTAGTCAGAGACTATCGTGCTACTTTGATAAAAAATTGCTATCATTGAATTCTAACGCGTATTCACAAAAGTCAAGAACTTATAATAACAATAATAATTACAACGTAGCTGTTTTTTCAACGCTCTCTTCGTCACAGTTACCTTCAATTACTGGCATGACCAACTCGATGATGGAGAAAATCGATGAATTATTGAAAAGTATATCGAAGATTAACACATTCACCGCGATGTGAGCCACAGGTGGCTCACAGCATATTTTCTAAGGAAAATAACAAAAAACAGTTTCTTTTTCTTCTTTTTCTTATTATGTAGTGGATGCCATATATTCCCGCATCCGCTCCGTTCTGTTCAGTATTCGAATCGTTTATTACATTGAGTCATGCTTCTCATTGAAACAATCAAGACAAAAGTATTTATCACAATCAGAACAGAAAGTTTTTACTCTCTTCGCTGCTGTTGCACTTGCTTCTCTTGATTGTTGTTGCCTAATTTTCTCATAGCAGCCAGTACAGCGTCTTCTGACATCGCGAGCAGATTCTTCTTTTTCCTCAGGTTTGTGATCAGCGAGTTTGCGCTTCAGATGGCTTGCTGATTATTGTCTTGGACCAGGTTTCAGTTTCTCGAATGGTGTACCAAGGAGCAAAGATCATACAAGACTTTTACGAAGCCGCAGAATAGTCATGTCGCTTGTGGCATAATTTTCTTTGTAAATTAGATAACTATTAACTACTGCGGTTCCAAATATCAATTCAAATGCCACCTTTTTATACCATTTTATTGACCGTCTGAGACATGTATAGTATGTTGATAGTTGATCTGATAAATCACTGCCTTGTCTCCCTACATTCTGATCGAGAACAACTTGTGGCTGCATGATGCGCTCATTTAGTTTATTGGTTTTTCCAGTGTCCACCACAGTTGCTGAATGAGATGGTTTTGTGGATATCATCAAAACGTCTCTTTTATCGTTCCACTTGATTAATTTTATGCCGTTTTTGCTCTGGAGTCCATAAACTTCACTACATTTGAGCTTTTTCTGAACAACCTTATGTCTTGCACCAACACAATTACTTCTCAATGTCCCAATAAGATATATGTCATTACGTAATAAACATTTTGCAAGAGGAATACTCGTAAAGAAGTTGTCAGTCACTATAGTTCGGTAACATCCCAAAGGATCTTCTGATAAATCCATGACGACTGTTTGAGAATGTCCAAGATCAGCGATTGGATCCTGCTTTCCATTATAAACGATAAAATCCCAAGTATATTTATGTCTACTCACTATCTTGTATATCTTAATACCATATTTGTGTGATTTGCGGGATATGTATTGTTTGAACAGGAGTCTGCTTCGCTATGGTATCGTTGTTTCATCAATAGTAATAATTGAGCGAGGAATGTGAACCGATTTAAATCTGGCTTTCAAAAGATCTAAACGTGGTTTCAATTTGAATAGACTATCTTGGTCTGCATGCTCTTCTTCATTGTTCGAAAAATGGAAAAACTTGAGAAGCAATTCAAATTTGCCTCTCGGTATCGTATTTTGAATAATTTCAGATCCGTACAATTTGCTTTTGCTCTAATAATGAACCATTTGTGGCATTTCTACCAACCCTATCTCGATAATAACTCCCAAAAACTTAAGTATATCTTTATTAGTAGTTGGTTCTCATTGACGAGTTTTTGATCGACTACTCAGCTTCTGAGTTTGTAAGTATTGCTCTGCGTATCGATTTGTTTCGCGAACCATGAGATTAATGTTTTCATCAATGATGAAATGTCGATAGCAATCGATGGGATTGATTGTATTCTCTTCTGACGTTGACACTACTTCTTCGATGAGCCCATAATTCTCTTGGAAGTCAGCATCAGATTCTGATTCTGTTTCGTTCCAGACTTGTAAATCCACGTCATCATCATCAGCAACTTCTTCTACGGAGCTTGAGGATTCAAACTGCATTTTAGCAAAATCATCATCCAAACCACTCACATCACTGACGAGGGAAGGTTCCTAATTGTCCCCTCGCTTTTGAATCGAGTATATGCCCAAACGATAGACCTCACTGAGTTATTAAACACCATACAAGGTTTCGGTTTCCCAGGCTTCCTGAGCAGAGATATACAATTATTACTGTCACTAGTTTTGCTGTACTACTGTATTAATATATACGATATCTTGACTAAACATGCTCTGATCTGGTTCAAATTTATATCAGTAATATAGTACTCAGTACTGATTAAGATCCTAGAGTTCGAAGATAAGAATTTGTTTGACATACCGATTGATTATTAAAAAATAATATGTGCTCCTCCTCAAAGATACAAGTATTGATTCATCTGATATTTCCAGTACACATTCATTTTATAGTTAGCATACATGTGGAAATATCATCTCATTTGTCAATACTTTAGCTAATAAGAATCCGA